CATGAAAAAGCACGCCGCGGCGTGCTGGCAAGGCACGCCGCGGCTGGTCGACGGGGCCCTGGGACACACAAATAAATAGACACGGAATGACAGGATCGCCAATACTTTCCCATATTTTCTGGGCTTTTGTCTTCCCCCCCACTTTCCATATTTTCCCCTATTTTCTGAGGAATCGACGATGAATTGTGTCTGTGTGCTTTTTCCCCTCCTGATGGTGAACAAGCGCCTGCATGAAAAAGGGGTGACCGCGGAGGCCGCGCGAGAAGTGTTGACTGATTCCCGTGAGGCAACGGGGCCCCAGGACAATGGTGGACTCGATGCCACTGCGGGAATTTCTGGTGCCCCCATCCTCCTCTTCAACACTTGAGATAGGGGCCAAGCTGGGCGTCGACCAGAAGGTGCGATTCCGCCCACGACTTCCTCAGAACAAGGTTTCCTGTCGCCTTCCAGGGCGACCAGAAATGATGCCATGCCACAGGTAAGTGGCTCCTCCGAGGCCCGCCCAAAGCCCATGTTGAATCCACAAGTGCGGAACCACAGAAATCGTCAAAGACCCATGGAGCTCCGTTGTGTTTACGCTGATTTGGGCAACCTGGGGGCTTCTGGGGGAATCGCTCGTGGCTTCTTCGGGTCATCTCTCTTGGGCCTCCGAAGGCTCTCGAAGGCTCTTAGAATCGTTCGGGCGCCCTCCTGGCAAATCTCGGGGGGCACTGTGGCCATCTTGGCGCCTCCTGGAGCCTCCAGGACGAGAGGCCTCTGGCGCCCTCTCGGGGCAGATCTCCGCCCTCTGGGGGCGTCTTGGGGCGTCTTGGACCCTCGCCTGGACCGTCTTCGGGGTCGCCCTGGGCCGTCTCGTGGGAAGCACAGAGACATACTGGCACTGTATGTCCTCCATGGAGGCGCGCGTCCGACCCGAACATATAGTATACCCACCTTGTAGTATATTTGTTTCCCGAGCGGCGTGGCCAGAAAGCGCCCGCCACGACGCATACACTAGAAGATTTCTCGGTGCGCGCGTCGCCCGACGTACATATAGCATAAGTATGTTGGGGTGACGCCGATCTTGTGCCCTTCTTGGAGCTCTCTGGAGCCGTCTTGGGGCGACCTGGGAGGATGCTTCAGCCGTCTGGGGCTGTCTTGTGGCGGTCGTGGAGGACGGAGGGGCTCCCGCCGACGATCCTGAGGTGGAGGTGGGGAGGGCCCTGGAATCATTCGATCTCCTGGGGTAAATCCTGAATGGGTTGCCTGTCGGGAGCCTCTGGGGCTCTGGGGCCTCCTCGTGGGGCCTTCTCGTGCCTCCCGTTTTACGCCGTTTGCGCCACGGTGGGCGACTCTTGAAGCTCACCGTGGCCCTGTTGGAACCGTTCTGGCCCCCCCCCCCCCCCAAACGGTCTCCGGCGCGCCCCTCCGTGCCCGTGGCCTGCCCGGTGGAGCTCCGGGCCCCCCTCGGGGCCCCAGGCGAGGTCGAGGCGGTGTCGCAAGGCACGGAGAGGAGGTGATTACCTGGGCGCAGGACAGGAGAGCACCCTTCGGGAACATGAGACCCTCCGCAAGCCCAAACGGAAGATCGTTCTAGAGTGCCCTCACCCAGGACGCAAAAGAGCATCCAACAACCACGAAGAACTTGAGGGAACCCTCCCCGAGTCGACATCGGTCTTATACCTCGGTCCGACTGTACCCTCGAAATGGGGGGATCACTATTCAGCCGACGCCATGCCAGTGCAGCCGCCGCCGCCGCCGCCGTCGTTTCGTCGTCATGGTACTCGTCGTTCCTGGACGTCTCTGCACGGCTGGGACGTACAACGTGGTAAGCCCTTCTAAGGCCTCTGGTGGCTTCCGGAAGCGTCTGGAAGCTCGCGGAGACTTTCTGGAGACCTTTGGAGGAAATCGGCGGTCGCCGTCGTCGTCGTCATCACCGTCGTCGTCGTCGTCGTCTTCTTCGTGGTCGTGGTGGTGATCGACGTCGTCGTTAGATTTTTGGAAGCCGTTCGGAGTCGTGGTCGTCGCGGTTGTGGTCGTCGTCGTCGTCGTGGCCGTGGTCGTCGTCGTCAGACGTTTCGATGCCGTCGAGAGTCGCGGTCGGTGCCGTGGTCGTCGTGGTCGCGGTCGTGGTCGTGGTCGAGGTCGCGGTCGCCGTCGTCGCCGTCGTCGCCGTCGTCGTCGTCATGAACGTGGTGGTGGTCGACATCGTGGTCAGACTTTTGGAGGCCGTCGGGGGTCGTGGTCGGTGTCGTGGTCGTCGTGGTCGTCGTGGTCGTCGACGTCGCAGTCATTATCGTCCTCGTCCTCGTCCTCCTCCATGTCGTCGTGGTCGTCGTGGTCGTCGTGGTCGTCGTGGTCGCGGTCGTGGTCGCGGTCGTGGCTATGGTCGTGGTCGTCGTCGTCGTCGCCGTCGTCACCGCAGCGGCCGCCGTCTTCGTCCTCGTTCTCGTCGTCGTCGTCGTAGTTCTCCTGGACCTCGTCGTCGTGGCCGTTCGTAAAAGTTCGGGTTGGTTGGAACGCGTGGATGTGGCTAGCCCTTCGGTGGCCTCTACAAGCTTGCAGGGGCCATCGGAGACACTTGGAGGCCGGCGCGAGAGGCCCCCCAGAGGCCAAACAGAAAATGGGCTTCCACAGAAAGTGAGGCTCTGGGGGGACTGGGCGCTCACATTGGGTTACACGTCGGTCGGAAGAAGCAGGTACAATGAGGTCGGGCATGTCCTCCTACAGGCGGATTTTGGCGGCAAGATGTTTAAGAATCCAACTTGCCCCAAAGCAATCAAAAATCATAGAGAAATCGTCCCCTGACAACTTTTTACTACTTTGACTGAAAGGTACAAGCACGAAGTAGGCAGTCGTTGAAAATAGATTAGGCTTCCGCGCGCCGCCCGCCCCTTGACGGGGAGAGAAGAGGGAAAACCGCCAGACCCTTGAAGCAGGAGGGCGCCTACTAAAGTAGACTAGGATCGGGGCATTCAAAAAGAACATACCTTTTCAACGACCGGCGTGTACTCCAGATTTCATAATAAAGGGAGGGGGGTCTCATTTCGGGGGGGGGTCTCTTCCAGGCTATCTTGGAGGGCCTGGGGGGGTCTGGGGACGATGTTTTGGAGCGTTCTCCCACGGGGGAGGTCTGAAATGGCTTGTCTTGGAGGGTCCAGACCCCCTCCCTTTTATCACGAAATCTGGAGTACCCAGGGCGCTCGAGATCTCTGTGCTGGGGTTTCTCTCTCGAAGCCTCGCGTGATCTCTTGGAAGGGCCGTGGGGGCAGCTTGGGGCTTGCTCGGAGGGTTCTGGGGGTCCTCTTGGAGCGTCGTGGCATGCGAGGCGGGGATGTATCCATGTCCACCGCCTGGGAGCCGACGTCCTAGTGCCCCAGCGGGCGGTGGATATGGATACATTTTGGCCCCTGGGGGTCCGAATATGTCCATATCCACCGCCTGCCGAGATCCCCGAAAGTCATCCTCCAGGCGGTGGTCTTGCGTAAATTCCCACCTCGGATTGGGAGCATTTGGGAGATCCTCGGGCCTCTTGGAGGTTCCTGGAGGGCAGTGCTCGAGATGTCGGTGCCAGGGTTGCTCTGCAGCCCCTCTTGGGACCTTCTCGGTAGGCTTAGGTCGGGCATGTCCTCCTACAGGCGGATTTTGGACGAAGAAGTAAAACATACTTTAAAAAATACCCCAAAATAGTCAAAAGAATGATAGAACAATCGTCCCCAGCCTGTTTTGTGACTTAGGCTTCTGGAGCCCTCACGCAGCGCCTCTTGGGCCGCCTTGGGCCACTCGTGGGTTGCCTTGGGGGCCCTCTGCGGGGCCTCTGGGCCAATCTTGAAGCCACATTCGGGGCCTCTTAGACCGTCTTGGCAGAATACTGGGTCGAAAAGGGCCCCCAAAAAAACGATCAAAGGAAAAGACAATGAATGTTGCCTGTCGGGGCCCTCTTGGGGGGGCCCTGGGGGTTCCTTGGAACCATTTTTGGCCGTCCGGGAACGCTCTGGGCCGTGTCTGACCCATCTTGCACCGTCTGGGGAGCCTCCAGGAGCCCTCTTGGTCCGTCTTCTGGGCCCCCGGCCTCGGGAAAAGAGCCCCGAAGAGGTTGCTTTGGGCGCCTCTGCGGGGCCTCTGGGGCAATCTCGGGGCCATGCTCGGGGCCTCTCGGACTGTCTTGGCAAATCACTGGGCCGAGAAGGCGAGAATGCCAAGAGCCCCTCCAAAAAGAAGAAGCCAAAACAATGAATGTTGCCGCTTAGGATCCTCTTTGGGGGCCCTCTGGGAGCACCTGGAGGCGTGTTGGAGGCTGTCTTGAAGCCATCTTGGGCCATCCCGGAAAACTCAGCGGCCGTGTCGGAGCCCCCTCGGACCGTCTGGGGGCGTCCTGCAGCCTTCTTGGCCCGTCTTGTGGGCCCCTGGCCTCGAGAAAAGAGCCCCAGAGGGCCCCAGTGCTTTTGTAAAGCTCCAGGAGCCCGCCTACATGTAGATTCTAGCATATGTCGGCGTTTATGTATACGTATGTATAAAAATAGATTGGACTATACATATATGTGTATGCCTGAATGTACATATACACATACATGTAAAAGTAGATGTGTGTTCATGCATCGAATACATACATGTATACATACATGCATACGCACATACATACATACACGCGTACATACATACATGCATACATACATACGTAAAAACATGCATACATACATGCATACACGCAGACCCACAAGCATACATACATGCATATACATGCATGCAAACAAACATGCATACAACATGCATACACACATGCATGCATGCATACATGCATACACGCACAAATGCATGCATGCATACATGCATGCATTGATGCATGCATGCATAAGCACATGCATGCATACATATATATAGATATATGTATATATATATGCCTACAAACATACATACATGCCTACACGCATACATGCATGCATGCATACATCCATCCATACATATATCCCGATCTACATACATACAGACATGCGTGTACACATACACGTAAACTAATGCACACATACAGACAAACAGACAGACAGGCAGAGAGGCAGACAGACAGACATATAGACATATATACAAACAGAATATATACACAAACATACATGCATGCATACATACATGCATACATAAGAATATGCAGATTGAGAGAGAGAGAGGGCAGAAGACAAACAAAACATAAAAAAAAAAAAAAAAAAAAAAAAAAAAAAAAAAAAAAAAAAAAAAAAAAAAAAAAAAAAAAAAAGAGAGAGAGAGAGAGAGAGAGATAGAGAGGAAGAACACAACAAAGGAGAGGGAGGAGGGGGAGAGCGAGAGAGAGAACAAACAACAAAAAAAAAAAACGAGAGCGAAAGAAGCATGAACGACCAACAACAAACAAGCAATCATACACATACGGGAAAAAACAACCATCCCAACCACGCCCCCTCTTCCCCCCACAAAAAACGAGCCGCCGAGGGAAAAGCAGAATCAAACCCCGGGGGCAATCGGCCCCGGCTCCGCCCTGGCCGTGGCCCCGGCCCCGGCACCAGCCCCAGCCGCGGCCCCGGCCCCTGCCCTGTCCCCAGCCCCCACCCCGGCCCCAGCTCCGCCCCGGCCCCGGCCCCAGCCCCGGCCCCGGCCCCGGCCCCGGCCCCCGCATGGTCCCGGCCCCCGTTCCTGGGGCGGCCCCACGCTGGTCGACAGCACCAGCTGCCAGGCTTTCACGATATATGTCTGCTTGAGCAAGGACGGAGGAGGAGGGGATGGAGGACATGACGTGAGGAGGACAGATGGAGGAGAAGATGGAGGACGCGAGGAGCCCTGAGATCCGAAGTGGCCAAAACATGTAGCTTCGTACGCCACATCTTTCTGCACCATGCTTTGAGCCGGATCGATATGTGAGGCTCCCGCGGCCCGAAGAAAGGTGAAAGCGCCCGGCTCAAAAAATTGCGACGCCAGGATCTCGGGGAGGTGAAGCCCCTGAGATCCGACGTCGTGTTTTTTTCAATACGCGCTCCCCCGAAGTCTCGACCCGCTCTCCAGGACCGGCTTTCCATCCTGAGTCCCTTTTTTGACGGTCCCGGGGCCCGGCGAGGGCCCCTAGAGGCCGAAAAATACGAAAAAAAACTCCGTCTTGATTTTTTCAATACGTTGGAGGTCTGGGGCCAGGACTCCTCGGCAGAGTCCAGCCGAGCAGTGCCGAAGAACTCCTGCACTGCCGCCGCGACGTCCTCCAGCACCTCCGCCGGGCCGCGGCGCCGACGCGCTGGGCTCTGGCCCTGGCCGGGGCCCACCACAGGCCGTGCAGCGCCCAAAGGGATTATGCTCGCAGACTGCGGGAGGCTTGGCTGCGTTTGTATCCCCCCGCTCCTGCTGTGTTTCGGCCTCCGGTGGCCGATTTCGGGCTTCGGGCCCATCAAAGAGGGGCATGGTGCGGGGTGCGGAGGACTGCCTCCAGGAAGGGGCCGGGATCTCTGAGAGAGCGTGATCCACCGCCGCTTTACTGTGGGAAGTTCTCCCCCCCTCTTCGGGGTCACTACCGGTTCGAACCGCCGCCCCGCCCCCCCGTCTCTGGAAAACCAGGGGGGGTCACTACCGGCTCGAACCCCCCCGCCCTCTCTCGAAAACCAGGAGGGGGTCACCACCGGTTCGAACCCTCCCCCTCCCCCCCTTTCTCTCGAAAAGCGGGCGGGGGTCACTACCGGTTCGAGCCCCCGCCCTTCTCTCGAAAACCAGGGGGGGGTCACCACCGGTTCGAACCCTCCCCATCCCCCCCTTCTCTCGAAAACCGGGGGGGGTCGAACCGGTAGGAACCCCCCCCCTACGGAAAACCGGGGGGGGGTCACTACCGGTTCGAACCCCCCCCCTCTCTCGAAAACCAGGGGGGGGTCACCACCGGTTCGAACCCTCCCCCTCCCCCCCTTCTCTCGAAAACCGGGGGAGGGTCCCACTGAGCTGTCCCACTGAGCTGTCCCACTGAGCTGTCCCACTGTTCCCACCACTGTCCCCACTGTCCCCACCACTGTCCCTACTGTACATCTGTCCCATTATCCCACCGCCGTCCTCGCCACCGCCCTCACCACTGTCGCCACCACCACTGTACCCTCCACTGTCCCACTGTTTCCACCGCATTCCCACTGTCCCCGAACCACTGTCCCCACCACCACCGTCCCCACCACTGTCCCACTGTCCCCACTGTTCCCACCATTGTCCCCGCTGTCCCCACCAGTGCCCCTACCAGAGTCTCAGTGTCCCCACTCTCCCCACCATTGTCCCACCACAATCCCACTCCCCCCACTTTCCCCACGGTCCCCACCTCTGTCCCACTGTCCCCACTGTTCCCACCACTGTCCCACTGTCCCCGCCGCTGTCCCAATGTGCTGTCCCACCGTCCCCACTGCCCCCATCGTTGTCCCACTGTTCCCACTGTCCCCACCACCTTCCCCACTGTACTATTGTCCCACCACAGTCCTCACCACCGGCTTCACCACTGTCCCCACCACTACCGTCCCCACCACTGTCCCACTGTCCCCACCACTGTCCCGCTGTCCCCTCACCACTGTCCCCACCACCACCGTCCCCACCACTGTCCGCACCACTGTCCCATTGTCCCCGCATCACTGTCCTCACCACCACCGTTCCCACCACTGTCCCAACATCCCCACCATTCTCCAACTGTCCCGAGGAGCGGGCATCGTTTTCTGACGGCGAGGGCGGGGGGATTCGAACCGGTAGTGATCCCCCCCAATTTTCGAGGAGGGGGGGGGGTTCGAACCGGTAGTGACCCCCCCCCGGTTTTCGAGGGGGGGGTGTTCGAACCTGTAGTGACCCCCCCCTTTCATGTTGGACTGGGGAGGGAGGGGGTTCGAACCGGTAGTGACCCCCCCCCCAGTTTTCGAGGGGGGGGGAGGGGGGACGGGTTAGGAACCCCCAGTGAACCCCCCCAGTCTTCCGCCAGCAGCGGTAGGACACGCTCTTTCAGATCTCTGGAGCCCGCACGTGCAGGATGGGCCTGGCAGGTGATTTTGACTGCGCATTCGATGGGCCAGGAACCTCGGCGAAACTGAACACGTTGAGCTCGGGCCTCTGTGTCTTCATCTCCTTCCAGGTCTGGTGCATCCGCACCATGGCGGCGCAGTACAGCTCCCCGAAGGCATCCCAACCTTAGCTGCCCCGATACGCAACACGCAAGCCGCAGCGTGCTGACACGGAGCTCAACACGTGGACAGAAAACGTAGGTCTCGCGCGATACGTTCGCTAAAACGTGGACCAATACGTTGAGCCAACACGCAACGTATTGACACGAACGTTCTGGGCACAGCACGTGTTGCGTATCAAAACGGACGTATCGAGGCAGCTAGGATCCCAACCCATGCGCGCCGCGCATACACAGAGCTGCGCGAAGGCCCGCAACTGTCTGCGATCGTGGATCATGGCCTCTTCTCTCTGCTGAGCCTGCGTCAGTCCCGTCAGCAGCCGCAGATATTTGGCCAGCATCTGCGTCACGTTGATCGATGCGACGGCAAACGGGTAATCGTACTCATCGGACGCCGCCTCGACGACCATCCGCTGGGCGGGTTGTGGATACCTCTCTACCAGGTAGACAAGGCTGTCCAATGCCAGGATCCCTGTCCGCAAATCAGTCCTTGGATTGCTCGACTGGAACCCAAGCCGCTTCCAACGGGGAGAGATGTCACCCCAGCCAGCAGCTGCGTCTCCGCACACTGATGCTGCCCCAGTCGCAGAGCAACTGGACCAAGGCACCTGGCGAATCGGGCACGGGGCTCTTCAGCTTCGGTCCCGCTCCCTCCTGCCATTATCCTGCCTCATGCCTCCTCCCTTTATCCTCCCTCCTCCCTCGTGACTCACCATCCCTTGGACTCCCCCGATTCCCCCCGATATGGCGACATCGTGCTGGGGCCAGACAGCCTTCGAGCTGCAACAGCAGCGTGATGGACGCAGATATCCTCAACAGAGGCTCTAACCAGATGCCTTGAGCGCCAGTGGAACGCGTACGAACCCGACCAAGAATCGCTTGACCGAACATGAAGAGATGGCACACAAGCGCAGCCAGCGTAGGGGCGAACATAGTTGCTACTCCTCCTACTCGACATCATCGGCATCACCACTACCACCACCACCACCACATGATCAACATGACCCTCCGTGCTATCGGCCTTGCTGGTAAGGTCGCAGAGCCTAGAATGGGGGCACCACTTCCCGTCGCGCTCCGAAGCCCCCCGAAAGCTTCCCAAATGGCTCTGCAGACCGACTGCCGAGGCGGAGAGGAAGCCGGCTCGCGATCCTGAAACAGCGAGCGCCCGGGGCCTCCTGAACGGGGGCCTGGCGAAACGGGGCCTCAGGCTTGTTCATGTGCCCCCGTTTACTGTGCCCCCGCCTACGGCGCCCAGGGCCCCCTGAACGGGGGCATAGCCGAACGTGGGAATCGGCGTTCCCCGTACCCCCGTTTGGCCGTTCCTTCGGGGCGCCAGGGGCCCGGGTCGCCCCCGCACGTCCCTCTCGCCCTCGAGGCCCAGACCAGGGCGCCACGCACCCGAGGCGCACCGAGAGGAGGCCAACAGAGGGAGGCAGTCGCGCGCCGGGGCTCCCCTCGGGGGGCGAGCAGACCTGGATTACAGTCCACCCGTATAATAAGGATGCGCAGTAAGGATGCAAGGGCCTTGGAGGGCCAGGTTACCGCTTTTTCGAGCGAGGTTGGCCAGCGCAAGTCGCTTCGGATGCCAGGACACCCTTGGAAAGTCGCTCATCCATGGAGTTGGCGCGCGGTCGCCAAATCCATGGATCGGAGGAGGTGCCCGTCGCCAATCCAAGCCCCCATTGACCCACGTTTGCGATCGCCTGATCTCCTCGCAGGCGAGGACCAGCGCTGCATCTCAGAGGACACGGGAGGGGGGCGAGAAGGGGAAGGGGCTGCTGCTTTTTTACGCTGCAGGCACGGCAAGGAGGCGATCCACGCGGGCGCCCGAGCTGTCGAGGACGCGCGCCCAACTAATCTTGCCTGGATGCGAAAGATAAAGGACGCCGGATGGCAGGGCGTGCGCGCGGGGGCTGGTGCTTCAGGCAGCAGGCGCCTCTCTGGAGGAGGGCGACAGATGGCTGCTGTGGACCCCATCGGAGCCACATCCAGCGACTGGAGGAGGAGGAGGCGGAGGAGGCGGAGGCGAAGGGGGAGGCGGAGGAGGAGGAGGAGGAGGAGGAGGACCGCGGGCCGCGGCAGCCAAGCCTATCCCGCGATGGAGGGCCTCAGCACACGCCGTCGAATGCTCAGGGCTTGCAGAGAGAAGCTGCTTTACTCGTTGCTTGTCTTGCCTTCGTCCAGGCCGGTGTGAAGGGAACTGTAGAGGGGGACGGGGGAACATCGACCTGGAATCGGCGATACATTGCCAATAGCTCGGCTTTAGGCCCTCGATAGCGCAACCGCACGTTCTTCAGCGGAGCGGGTTATCATGCGCACATCGGCGATGAATCGGCAATTGGTGGTCGATGCATTCCCCCCTTGGCCTGTCCCACCCCAATGCTGCCCCTGATGCTGCCTCAGCAGAGACAGCTCTGAGAAGCTCCTCGAGCGGAGCCCGGCCACGGCGGGGGGGCCCGGCGGCACCCCCAGAAAATGGCACGGGGCCCGCGCGGGGGCCGCACGGGCAAATCCCAGGAACCCATCCGCGTGTGACTGATGAAGAAGCACCAGGCCTCCGGAAAAAGAAGGAAAGCATAACGAAGGAGCAACGCGCTGAGGGGCTCCGAACCACAAGGGGCCAGTGATATTCGTTTTAGTAGACGACGAACCGTATACACTGAACTGCTCCGCCGCCGGGGACGCCTTCCCCAGGGCGGCTTGAAAGTTGATACCCCTACGGTGGCACGTCGGGGTAGAAAACTGTCGGGCCGTGGTTGGGCACCCCGACGGCGGAAAAGTTTACACTACGCCGTTCTTCATCGGCTAGTCTCTGTCCCTCCCGAGTGCAGGCCAGGCCCTTCGGGCTGGGCGAAGGGGGGGGGATAGCAAAGGGGGGGGGGGGGGAATCAGCTCACGTAGCTGATTCTCGCCTACGTATCGAGGAATGGGCCCGTCGGCGGGATCGAAACCAGCTGCATGCAGCAGATTTCGTAAGCCCCCCTTTCCCTACAGGGCAGTTTTTAATACATCGGATATTATATACATACATATATATATATATATATATATATATATATAAGGTCTTGCATTCGTGATTAATTAACGAATAACATTATGCATGAACTCATGGTTCCTTTTAAAAACTACATCCCCGCGTTTGGAATACATGATCCGCGCGCGGAGCATGCATTTAAAACGGCACTGTCTCCCCCCCTCCCGTTCGGCCCGAGCCCTGGGTCGCCCCGAGCTGCCGCTCCGTCGCGCCGGGCCGGGCGGGGCGAGGCGCCCGTGCACGGCGCGCGCGCGCGTCGCGGCCGCGCGGCCACGTGGAGGGCCCGAGGGGGGCTCGGCAGCGCCACGGGCCCGGCACGGGCCACAGCGCTGCCGGGCCTCCGCGGGGAGCGCTGGCGGCGCACTGCGCCTTGCTTCCGAGGCTTCCTGGCCTCAGGTGCGCGGGAGGAGGAGGAGGAGGAGGAGGAGGAGGAGGAGGAGGAGGAGGAGGAGGAGGAGGAAGAGGAGGAGGAGGAGGAGGAGGAGGAGGAGGAGGAGAGGAGGAGAGGAGGAGGATGGAACGAGGGGGTGCTCTCGTGGCATGGCCCTCCCCCCCGATCCTCCCGAGCCTCCTCGCCCTGGTCTCCTGCTCCCGGCCCTCCTGGGGGCCAGCAGGCTGCGGGGACGAGGCTCCCTGCGACCTGTGCCAGGAGGAGCTTCCAGAGGAATACTCGCTCACAAGGCTACACGAATGGACGACAGCTCCTTTTCAAAATAAGGCTCACGCTGGGAAACCACTCCAAATCAGATCGCCAGACTGCAGAAGTGCCCAACCGTGATCCGAAGGGCACCTACGTATGTTTCAACAAAAATGCTCTCGCTGGAAACGTATGATCCTAGGGGTTCGTACTCCCTCTAGCTCAGAGGATGGAGGGTGTTCCCTTTCAAAACGAGGTTGTCGCCTTCACTGAAGGCCCAGGGGGCCTCGCCATGCGAAGGGGCACTTCCTGTAGAGAACAGGACTTCGTTCAGAGACTTCTGAGGAAGGCATCGGGACGGGAGGGTGCAATGCAGCATCGTTGATGCATGTTGAGTTTACCATGATCATCGTCCTCCTCATCCGCCCTTTGCATAATCGTCTGCATCGTCGTCATCGTCATCGACATCACCATTGTCAACGTGATCATCAACCTCGAAAACGTCATCCTCCTCCTCGTCCTCCTCCTCCAGCCCGTCCCTTCTCCATACCCCTCCTTCCTCGCCCCTCCTTCCACCTCCTTCTCCCCATCCTGCAGCTCCTCCTCTTCCTCCTCTTCCTCTTATTCTCCTCTTCTTCCTCTTCCTCCTCTTCCTCGTCTTATTCTCATCTCCTCCCCTTCCTGCAGCTCCTCCTCTTCCTCTTATTCTGGAGTACCTGCCGTCATTGGCCGTGGGCCTGCGACGCCCCCCGAGGCCGCTGGGCTGGGACCTCTGGGGAGCTCCTCCTCCTCCTCCTCCTCCTCCTCCTCCTCCTCCTCCTCCTCCTCCTCCTCCTCCTCCTCCTCATCATCATCATCATCATCATCATCATCATCATCATCATCATCATCATCATCATCATCATCTCATCATCATCATCACCATCAGCATCATCAGCATCATCATGAGCATCAGCAACATCATCATCATCAGCATCATCATCATCAGCAGCAGCACCATCATCATCATCAGCACCATCATCACCATCATTATGATCATCATCATCATCCTCATCCTCATCCTCATCATCATCAGCATCATCATCATCATCATCAGCATCAGCATCATGATTATCGTCATCATCAGCATAATCATCCTCATCATCAACCAGATCCTCATCAGCATCATCATCGGCATCAGCATCATCATCATCAACATCAGCATCAGCATCATCATCATCAGCATCGGCATCATCTGCATGGTCATCATCATCAGCAGCATCATCATCAGCAGCAGCATCATCCTCATCCTCCTCCTCCTCCTGTTCATCCTCCTCCTCTTGCTCGTCCTCCTCCTCCTCCTCCTCCTCTTCCTCCTCCCCCTCCCCCTCCTCCTCACCCTCATCCTCATCCTCATCCTCATCTGAATCCTCATCCCTATCCTCATCCTTGTCCTCCTCCTCGTCCTCCGTCTGGCTCTCCTCCTTCTACGCATCATGCTATTAGTAGTAGTATTATACATATTAGTTTTAGTAGTATTCCTCTTCCTCCTGTTCCTGCCTCTTCCTCCTCCTCCTCCTCCTCCTCATCATCATCATCATCATCATCATCATCATCATCATCATCTGCATCATCATCAGCATCATCATCATCCTCCTGGTTCTCCTCCTCATCCTTCACTATTCCTCCTTCCTCCTCCTCCTCCTCCTCCTCCTCTCCTCCTCCTCCTCCTCCTCCTCCTCCTCCTCCTCCTCCTCCTCCTCCGCCTCCTCCTCCTCCTCCTCCTCCTCCTCCTCCTCCTCCTCCTCCTGGTCCTCCTCCTCATACATGTGTCCTCCCTCCGTCGTTCTTCCCCCGGAGGAGCACCTGCTCGCCCCAGGCGCGCACGCGCGAGAGGAGCCCCTCCACCTCGGCCAGTTGGTCCATGGCCTTGCTGTTGGCGCGGACCTCGGGGGGCGCCCGCCACTCGGGCAGGTCGGGTCATCCCGACCTCTCCCCCCCGAGCTGGGGTTGGAGGGAGAATTGCCTGCAGCGTAGAAGGGAAGAGCGAGGAGACGGGGGAGCGAGGAGGACGAGGAGCGAGGAGGAGCGAGGAGTAGAGTGGATAAAGAGGAGGAGGAGGAGGAGGAAGGAGGAAGGAGGAGGGGGGAGGAGGAGGCCGAATAAGGAGGAAGGAGGAGGAGGGGAAGGAGGAGGAGAAGGAGGAGGAGAAGGAAGAGGTAGGAGGGAAGAGGGAGGAGGAGGAGGAGGAGAAGGAGGAGGAGGAATAGGAGGAGGAATAGGAGGAGGAGGAGGTGGAGGAGTCTGGGTACCCTGGGGAACACGAGGAGGAGGAGGAGGAGGAGGAGGAGGAGGAACGGGAGGGGGAGTTCGGGCCTGAGCAGGCCTGGAGCTAAGCGCGTCGCCCTCGGGTGGGCAAACCGCGCACACGAGACCGCACCCAACGTAAACTTTCCCTCGCGTCTTCACTCCTTCACTCCGCACATCCGTTACTCTGATAGCCACTTGTACGTGCTGAGGCCGTTCTGGGTAACTTGGCGGTCCATCACCATCCCCCAAATAGGTTATAGAAGGCTGAAAAGGTGAACAGACTTATGGGGAAATCGTCGAGAAGTGGACGACGACATGGACATTGGAAGAGAGTAGTGGATATTGATGATATATTCGCCTTGCTGGGCAAACCGACACCCCTGCGAGAGAATCTTGAAGCATCCATAGCTAAGATCAGCAGCTCTGTCGCTGACACCGAAAAGCGCAATACGGTAGATGTGCCACATTCAACTCTTACTAAAAATGCGCCTCAATTCTGATCCGGTGACGCGGTGCAGTACAATTGCCAACAAACCGGGTCATTTCTACCGCTGCCAGACATACTCTCGCTGCCTGTCTCGCTCTTGTACCAGTCACCGCCTCCCTTACACACGCCGCGCATGACAGCATGCGACGCAGACGCTCCCGACGACGCCCTTCCCCACGTTTCATTTACCCTCCTGCGCCTCCCTGCCCGACGCCCAACCCCACTACGACCTCCTCGGCGACCGCCTACCCGACGACTTGCCCCGCGACCCCGTCCCTCGCCCCAACGACGCCAACGACAATGCCATTTGCGCCTCCCCCAGCGATGACGGCGACTACCCGAACGAGGGCTTCTTAGATGACGATCTGCCAGGAGATGCAGACAGGCCAATTTTGAATAACACACAATACGGTCACATCATTAGTGCTCGACGTATCGGAGCTTATCTTTCATATGGTGGTTCAGACACGCAACATATCGACCGTACAAGAAGTGTTTTCGGCACGACTTCAAGAACTTAACCTACTGATGTTCCATGGTATGCCGACACTGAAGTGGATGCACACGACGAAATCATTGGTCTTACTCAAAAAGCGAAGTGCCACGCACGACCAGATTACCACTACTGTCCGTGATATTTTTTTTGCGGCCGCCACCGAGTACAGGTACACAAATATGTCTGCTGTTTGGCGCGTCTGCAACACGCTCGTCTCCTCTCTGGTTGCGAGCGGGATCCCTGTTCAGCCTTACGTCCAGGAATTATGTGCGGACGAGGCTGGTTTTGACTCCACATTCGCCATGATAATGGGACCGACTACCTAGAACGCAAATTCATTACCTCCATGCACCTCACCACCATGTATTTCCCCTTTCCCCTTCCCTTCTCCTCTCCCCCTGGTGTGGGACGGGTGCGGGTGCGCGTGTGTGTGTGCGCGTGTGTGTGTGTGTGTGTGTGTGTCTTGTGTGGCTTGTACGTGGTTTATGTGAGTGCGCGGGTGGCGAGTAGGGCGGAGGGCTGTAGCGAGTCCGGCGCTGTCGGAAGCCTTCGAAGAAGGCAGGTTCGTATTCTCAGGCATTCACTGTTCGCGTACCCCGCCGACTCCAGGCTCACACCTCTGGAAGGCACTTGTCGAGGGGGGTGGTGGATGGAGGAGATGGCAGTCATGCGGGCGTTCGGTTGGTTTCTTCGGAACCCGTTGTAGGCCGAGCACCTTGACGTTATGGCGCATGTTCGAGCGCAGCGGGTCCCGAGACGGACAGCGGCTGAAGGTAGGCTGGCTCCTCGGACTACTCTGCCTCCGTATTCCTGGCCGTGGTGGTGGGCCCTCGAGGCGCGTGGCCACCGTTGCAGACCATGGAGTCGGCATAGTCGGTCTCGGTTGTTCTGCGTGTGCGCCGTCCCTGATGCGAGCGACCAGGCCCCCATTTGCCACATACTTTGCGCAGCTGCAGCCGCGCATCGGACACGGCACTCTTGCGGACGGGGAGGGGGCCGGCCAGGAAGGCCAGCGGTGACAGCCCAGTAGCAGTGCAGCCTCCCAGATACGCGCGACTGGCGCCAATTTGCCACACACACACACAGACACACACACACACACACACACACCTGGCTCAGCTCCAGCCGTGCCTCGGACAAGGAACTCTTGAGGAGGCTGGGGGTGGTCATGGGAAGAGGTGGAGAGGAATAGTGACATTCCATTCCAGCGGCAATGCGCCATCCGAATGGCAAGCCGACCAATAATTCTGCACCATCTCAGTTTGAGCGACCAGGCGCCAACTTGCTACACGCACTTTTCGTAGCTGTTGCCGTGCCTCGGACAAGGCACTCCTGAGGAGGTAGGGGCTGGCGGTGCGAGGCGGGGGAGGAGCATGCCATACTGGTAGTAAGTCACCATCCCAGTTAGACGCCAAGCTTGCCACACCTGTCGCAGCTGCTGCCGTGCCTTGGACCAGGCATTCTTGAGGAGGCAGGGGGTGGTGAGTGAGGAACTGGAGGTGGTGGTGGTAACAGAACGCACACAGTAGTTTTGGTATGAAACTATTTGTTCCACATCGACAGCCGGATCGTGCTAGAATACGCACTCCGCTATGCAGCAGCACCTGGCTACCTTTTCTTCGACTCCAGTCCCTCCTGCGTTTATCTTTCCCCTCTACTCCATGCTCTGCGTCGTTATCCACCCGCCTAGCACACGCCTACCACACCAGGGCATCATTACATTGGCCCCCTCCGGGCATCGTTACACGAGCCCCGAGGCGCAACTGTAGGCTGGCGGGTTATTAACATGGAGAGGTGAGAGTTCATTCTCTCTGAACACATAAACCCGCGAACTGTCAGCACTGTACCCTCGGAAAGGGTGCTTGTAAGGCAAGGTGGCATCTAGTATTCGGTAGCGATGGCGGGGGAGATACTTGGAACTGGAACTGCACAGCGCACAGCGTCTTACAGCAGCACCTTGTCAGTGTCTCTGATTTCCACGTTCTCGCTGCACCTCCATTTTCCGACACGGTGCGGGCTGCCACTCTTGAGAGTAGGAGGAGGAGGAGGAGGAGGAGGAGGAGGAGGAGGCGAAGGATGAAGAGGATAGAGGAGGGGCAAACAGCCGGCCCCAGCAAGTTTCGAGCATAGAGCCACGCAGACTACATCAGGCCAGCCAGTACAGTCCTGGCCAGCCTACCGGAACTTTGCAGATAACACGATGCAGGCGAGCTACTTTGCACTGTAGTTTATTGCAAGTGCATGTTGATCCCTCTTGTTCGACCCACCGGCGTTCGATTCGTATTCGCCTCGCGTTGCGACCTACCTATCCGATTGAACTGCAGAGCGAGCGCATACTCTGTGCCCCTTCGGGCCTACCCCACGCCCCACCTTCCTCCAACGATTTCACCCTCCTCCCCCCTGAATTCTCCTTATAAAGAACCCCTTCTTATAAAGAATTACTCCCTGTCGCACCTCGAGGCCATTCGGAAGGGCGCGACGGGCGTTTCGCTGAAGACTTCCTTACCATTTACGAGCCTGAAACTTAGAAACGAGCAACAGCTTCACCAATGGGTCAGGAAGGGAGAGCTGCCATGCTGATGGGTGTGCGTGTGTTGTGTTGTGATGTTCTGTGTTGTGCTGTGCTGTGTCGTGTTGTGTTGTATTGTGCTGTGTTGTGTTGTGTTATGTTGCGTTGTAGTGTGCTGTGCTATGTTGTGTTGTGTTGTGTTGTGGTGTGGTGTGATGTGTTGTGTAGTGTTGTGTTGTGTTGTGGTGTATTGTGTTGTGTTATGTTATGTTATGTTGTGTGTCCGTGTGTGGGTGTGTGTGTTGTGGGTGCGTGTGCGTGTAAGTCGCTCGTGGCTCCCGCGGGATTACCAGCGCAACTCGTATCGAGGAAGCCTCCAGCACATCGGTCTCCTCTCTGGGATTGCAGACGATACAGTCTCGTTGGCTGTCATGGCCGCGCGCAAGGAACCCTCGAGTTGGGCTGAGCGGAAAGAATCTAGTACTGATGCTGTGCGCATGTACATCCGCCGACCCTGTCGGCGTGTGCGAAACGCTGTTCGGTTTGACTCGTCGTCGTCGTCGTCATCGTCGTCGACGTCGGCGTCGATTTCGCAGCCGGCGCTGCCGCCACCGTCGCCGCTCCCCCCCCCGCTTTCCCTGGGCCCGTCGCCGATTCCCCCCCCCCCCCTTCCCTGAGCCCTACAGGGGCACAGGAGCAGGAGGAAGAGGAGCCGGAGGAGGCGCACAGGCGCCCCGCTCACGTTCACGAGTGGACCCAACAGTGAACATGCAATGCATGCGAGGCATTCCACACGTTGCACGCCGTGTGGGCAACCAATAAACTCTCGAAGGGCTGGCCGTACGACAACGTGGTGCAAACATTTTTCAGGGAGTACGATCCCGCAATCAGCTGCAAGGGCTACGTGGAGAACTCGAAACTTCAAACATTGTTTGGGGGTGCGACCCTGTTGCTACAAGCACTGATTGGCGAACTCTTTGACGGCCCCAGGGCGTACGACCCCGTCGTGGGGCTCATCTTGCTGGCCCCCCAGCCTGTTCTGGCCGATGCTGCTGCGCCTCTTTTGTTCCTCCTTGAGCCCCACCCCCGCTACCCCTTCTCATCTGTTTCTCCTCCATAGCCCGACCGACCACACGCGATAGAAAGCCCTGCACTTTAAAGTCCCGCCCGCCCGACAAACTCTGATGCATTGGCCCCGCTTCGCTCGGCCACACGCGATAGAGAGTCCCATACTTTACTTTATTGTTCCCGCCCGCCCGACCCGCCCTGCCCCGTTGGCCCGCTCCGCCCGACCATACTCGGGAAGTCCCTGCATTTTGATGTCCCGTCCGCCAGGCTTGTCGCGCTCATGGGCCCCACGCCACCCGACCACACTCGACAGGGAGCCCTGCGCTCTAATCCGCCGGCCACCTTGTGGGGCCACCAGGCTGTAGGCGCGGGTTCGCAGTTTCCTGTACCAGTTGTAGCTTGTAGTTTCCAGTGATACAGTTCCACCCCTCACGCACATCCATCGCAAGGCGTGGTAACCCAAACTGCGAGTACTCCCTCGGCCCTTTAATCCCAAGGTGTGGTAACCAAGCTCGTAAACCATACACGTCTTACCAATCGCCCTGTGTGGTAACCCCTCTTGTGATCAGTTGGTTTTGCCGATTGCGAATCGGCCTCGCATGAAGTTCCGATACTGCTGCACGACAGCGCCAAAGCCTCATGACTTAGCTCTTCCATGGCCCATTCTCCGAGAGAGGGGGCCGGCGGCAGGGGGCGAAGCCCTTACGGATTTCCTGCCTGCTCGACCCTCCTCGTTTGCTGGGCCCGCTCCGCCCGACCACACGCGATGGAGAGCTGCACACTCTGATGTTCCGCCCGCCCGCCCGACTCGTTTCGCGTCGCAGACCCTGCCTCAAAAAAGTGGTAGAGTTTAATGCTTGGCTCGCTCGACTCGGCCCCCTGCACCGACCTGTTCCACAATAGAATATGAGGTACGAGCGCGCCTGGATTTGGTAAGCACTACACTGCAAGCATCAATCCTCTTCCAGTCGCATTGGGAAATTGATAACAGAAAGAACACAACAAATTGTCAGTTGCCCAAGCCGCGACCCAGAATTTGTTCTGTTCAGTTTTTGCTCTTCAGCCCGCAACCCGAGGAGGGATGTTTTCAATTTCCACGATTTCGCTCTCAATTATTCAATCCGGAGAACTCGCTCTCATGTGTTTCAACATTTTGACTGTCAATGCAGCGCCGAGTCAGCAAATGCAGCCGACACTGAGAGCTCGGGCACAGGGCCCCCGTCAGGTCCGCGAGCAAGCAGACTGTGCCAGAGCAGCAGTGGGCCTTCATCTCCAGAGAGGTCACGCGGCCGAGACACATGGAACGAGATGTCCGCGCGGACCCTCATGGTCCGAAAGGCTCCAAGGAGCCCTTAGGAACC